CCTCGGTCTTTTGTGCGTATGTGGGAGGAGGGAACAGGGTGGGGGAGAGTGTTTTGTGATTCTGCATTCAAGGTGTTCAGGCACAGAAACAAAGAAAGGAAAAGCCATTTAGGTCTCATTTAACCCATCCCCTCTGGCCACTGCAAGATTGTCCCCTACAGTATATTCTTCTCTGCTTTGTCCACTTTGGCTTTAAATTACTATGAGCGTATCACAACCAGCAAAATTCCTCACAATTAAGAGGCTGTGAAGAGAAAATAGTATCCCAAAGAGCACGGCCGGCAGTGGGATGACCCCACGCCAGCCCTCGGGGCAGCAGCCTGACACAGCTGCTGTGAGAGGCAGCAGAAAGGTCAAGCAGGATGCCACTGAAGAGGATTCAGCCTGGAAGGGACCTATTTGGGGCTGGGGCTGCAGTACGTTGGGGAAAGCATATTCAAGTCAAGCCAAAGAGGATGGGCAATCAATACGTGATACACTGGCCTCTCAACAGCATCTTCCAACTAAGTAGCTCAAGGTGCACACACCACCACCATGCGAGGCAAGTACTATTATACCCATTGTACAGCAGAGTTATATGAAACGGAGACATGAAGCCACTCAGCAAGCCACAGCGGCGAGAAGAACCTGGCTGCTGCCCACAAAGCAGCTTCATATACAAATAAACACCCTGCGCCTGAGTTTGGGCCTGTTGACTATTCTTGAATCATAAAACACCTGACTGTTATTGGTCACATAATATATATTTAAAAAAAAAAAATCACAGAATGACAGAAAATGAGGGCTGAAGGGACCTCAGGAGGTCACATCTCCTCCAACCCCCTGCTCAAAGCAGGACCAGCCCCACTACATCATCCCAGCCAAGGCTTTGTGTAGCCAGGTCTTCAAAACCTCCAAGGATGGAGAGTCCCCCACCTCTCTGGGTAGCCTGTTCCAATACTTTACTACCCTGTTAGTGAGAAAGTTTTTCCTAATGTCTAACCTAAACTTCGCCTGCTGCAACTTGAGACCACTGCTCCTTGTTCCATCTTGTGTGATAAAGAAAGATGAGGAATGCATAGCTCAGGATGCGACAGGTATAGGGCAGCCCGCAATACCAACAGGATGTAATCTGCAGTTTCTTTCAGTCAACCTGATTTGGCTTAATAGTAAAGGTTGATCTGTATAAAAGAAGAACTGGGAAGCTTGTGTTAAAACCTTGTCACAGGCTCGCACGGGCTAACAGGAGTGCGAGCACTGTCTCTTTCAGATCAGAAGCCTTTCTGCGTCTTCACCACTGAACAAGCCCATGGTCTTTCGTGGCGCATGCTGTTATCTTCATGCAGCCAAGTCAGAGATAAGTGGACACCGACTGCACAAAAAAATCGCACCTCACCTCAGAACTCCCCTGATTACCTTTCAGCCCCTGTGCTGTAGTTTTTGGAAGAAAAAAAAAAAATAGATCTTGCTAGGGTAGGGATCATGCCACACGGCTGCAAAGTCCCCTGCACACCTATGCTACCGCATAAATGCTGATATGGGCAATGGGTTATGAATCACAGCAAAGAGTCTCGCAGCAGAAACAACCGACCGACTGGTGTTTACAGCACTGGACTGGAAGCCAGAAGACCTGAGCTCCAGTCTCAGCTTTGCTGTTGGCTTGTGCAAACCTGGGAAAACTGCTTCAGAGTATTTCTCAGCATCTCCGTGATAAAAGGGGATAACATCCTTCTGAGAGGCAGGCGGAGAGGTTCAATTAGATGTGCAAGACACTGCACTGGAAGATGCTAGAGGAAGGTAAAATATTAAGCTGGGGATGTCCTAAAACCTGCAGGTTAAGCTTCTGAAAATGACCCTTGTTATAATGCGGCAAATCAAAATATAAACACATTAAAAACCCATCTCTAAGCACCCAGGGACCTGCATATGCTATTAGATTTAGGCCCTTCTTTCTACAGAGCCATACCAAACAACCCCTTCGAACCTATCCGGCATGGAGCAAGCTGAAAGGCAGCGGGGGGCCTGGGTAGATTGGCGTCCCACCCACTCTCTTGGATAAACACTATTTATGATGTCAGCTCAGGTCAGGAGACTGTGAAATGTCACCAACAACTGCCCAAAAGGAAAACAGGAGCGGCCACTGAGCCTCACGGTCTGCTGGACACGCACAGGCTGACCACAAGGCGAGAAGGTCCTGGCAGGGTCAAGTGAGCCAGTGAATAGGCCATAAAAGGCCAAGGAGGTGGGGTGAGGGGGCAGCTGCCTACAGCTAGACCCCTGGAAGCTGCCCTAAAAAAAGCCCTGAACAGCGGGTACTTGTTTAAGCGCAGAGTGGGGAAGAAGCCTTGGTGGTTAATGGCTTTGGCCCTGAGGGCAGGGCAGCAACTGGAGGAAATGCTGGAGAGAGTAAATGGACCCTCAGTAAAAAGGCAGGTGTAGGGAAGTGTAAAAGGAGGGAGCAAAGGGAGCCTGTTCCATGTCAGCAAACAGGAAACGTCCTGCTCTCAGATGTCAATGGCAGGCCACGGGGTGAAATTATCCTCACAAAGGACCCGAGGCAGGCACACTTTAAGAGGTGTTCGATCCCCACTTCTGAGATCTTCAGGCTCACCGCCATGTATTCATTCCGGATTATACAAACCAGCGTGCACGGGCTGCCGCTTTGTTAATGCGCAGAACCGAGGAGGAAATGCTGAGTCAATGCAATTAAACTTTGCGTCATGTATTAACCATGAAACAATCCAATGAGGAGCCTTATTTCTATGCACAGAAAACATGCAAGAGCAGAGAAGAGAGTCTGCAGGGGGTTTAAAACCACCTCCGCCTGGCAGCACTGAGCCTGCCTATAGATGAGCCTTTTTAAACAGCAAGTAAAACACCGTTTGTTTTTCCTCCACCATGATGTGAGTGGATGTTGTGCCTGGACTGATCTGGGGTGTGGGGCAAATTGAAACTCAGGTCCCATAGAGATGTAAGTCTGGGTTTAACCTTGCATGCTAGGAGTGGTTATACTCAGCATGCAAACTTGGCAGGCTTAGGGCTTTGGCTCGGCAGTGCACCTAGTGCAGCATACCTTGCATTTGTATTTGGAGAAATTTGCAACATTTAGGACCAAGTCAACCTGGCCTGGAGGCTTGGCCACACAGAACTCGTACTCTGGTCTAACACAGTTAACTCATGTTGTCTAACTGTCATGCAAAAAGGAATAAAAACTAATAATCTGGCCTCAAGAAGATGTTTTTTCATCAGGCTGCAGCCTGACAATTCTCGCAGGCCAGCCTCCCTTCCAGGCATACACCTGCCTATGCCTGCAATTTGCTGGTACCAATACAGACATGCTCACACCTCAGAAAAGCCAGTGTGAGCAGGGCATTGTAAAAGGGCACCTGCTGGGATGGGTGACATGTTTCAAAGGCATAAAGGACAATTAGGTAGTGAACTAAAACTTCAGCCTGACTTTGGGGTCCACTCATGTCCTGTCAGCTCCAGCCTCATGTGGCCAAAATATAGCTCTTCACCTCACCCACCACCCAGATGTATTCTTTCATAAGAATGGACACCACCACCCTGCCTCCATTCAGGCCCTTAACCTGGGCATTGTCAATAGAATCGTAGACCATGAGGGCTGGAAGGGACCTCAGGAGGTAACACTGAGTCCAGTGCCTTGCTCAAAGCAGGATCAGCCCCAACTACATCATCCCAGCCAAGGCTTTGTCTAGCTTGGTGTTCAAAACCTCCAAGGATGGAGAGTCCCCCACCTCTCTGGGTAACCTGTTCTGCTTTACTACCCTCTTAGTGAGAAAGCATTTCCTAATATCCAACCTATCCCTTGCTGCAACATGAGCCCATTGCTCCTTGTTCTGCCATTCCATTCATGACTAACCAGATGCCATTCATGGGCATTGACTTATAAGGATTGTGTTTAGCCTCCTGCGTGGCTAGGCCTCTTCTCTCTGGCACTCCCCGTTTTCCTCCACTATAATTTGAACCCTCCAAACCCCACTGGCACCATGTCTGAACAGCTCCTTGTGAAGCTGGGTTACACGCTGCTCGTCCTGTTCACTCGTACCACTGGAGCCCATGATGTTGCGCTTATGGCGACGTTAAGGATTGTCCACAGTGCAGCTCTGGGATATGTGGTGCCCTTGTCATTACATCATTTAGCAGGACGCTTGGACAGACGCTGACCCCCTTCTGTTTTATTCACCTGGGCCCTGGGGTCCTAACTAGTGTGCTCCCCATGAGGCCGCCTGGTAATTTTATTGGCAACATCTTTTCCCTTAGGGGAACGCCTGCCAAAGCTAATCAACAATCAGTTTCAGGAATCTCCATCCTTGGAGGTTTTGAAGACCCGGCTACACAAAGCCTTGGCTGGGATGTTGTAGCTGGGGCCGGTCCTGCTTGGAGCAGGGGGCTGGACTAGATGTGACCTCCAGAGGTCCCTTCCACCCTCATTTTCTATCATTCTGGGCAGAGGGAACTATTAGATCACCAAGTTGGACAAGCCAAAGAGTTTCACCCAGGTGTCCCTCTCAAGCCCACAGACTTGTGCATGGCTACAGTTCATCCTCCAGAAAAGTATCCTGTCTTGATCTGAGGACAAGTGCTGGAGAAGCCACTGCTTCCTTGCATTTGTTCCAATGTTTACTCGCCCTCACTGCTAAAATATGGCACCTTATTCCTCATTTGAATTAGTCTGCTTTTAACTTCCAGGAATTAGGGCTTGTTATGCATCTCTCTGCAGGAGGGAAGTGGGGATATATAATACAGAGAAGGAGGAAGGCTGTTCCCTGTGTCAGAGGTGTCACGGAAAAGAAGCCTGGAGACATGAAGGGAAAGTGAAAAGGAGCAGATAAATAAATCTTTCAGAGCAGTAACTCATAATGAATACTGTAAATCAATAAGGAGGGAGGTCATGGCCAGCAGCTGGGGGCCTGACCCTGGCACCTCAAAGAGAACTGGCCCAATCCTAGGCAGCAGCTGTGGTCCTGACCCCACCACCGTGAAGCTCTGGGTCTTACCTCCTTCCAGCAGCAGCCTGACGGTCCCATAGTCGTTAGCGAGCACGGCGTAGTGTAGAGCTGTGCAGCCCTTGAACGTGGCTCGGTTGTTCAGGCGGTTGTTGAACTCATCCTCCCGGGTCACTAGAACTGGAGAGGGCGATGGGTGAGAGAGGCTTTCCATGCAGTGAAATGATGCATGCTGCTAACAAGCTGCCCTTGAAGCAGCTCACCCTGTGGGTCCCCCAGCAGCAGGATCGTGAGGAGAGGCTGTGGGTACCCAACTCCTTGCACTCCAACCCCACCAGCGGAAGAGATAATGCTGCTGGAGGAAGCCTTTTGACCCACTCGGGCAAAAGCAAGTGCTCTCCATCCACCCAGCCCAGCCCAGAGGCTGTAGATAGCCTGCTTGCCTCCTCTGGAAATCCCAGGCCATCTCTACACACTAAAAAAAAAAAAAAAAAAAAAAAAAA